GAGGCTCCTTCTCTGGAGACATCCCAGCCCCTCTGGAGGTTCCTGTGGGACCTGCTGGAGGGATCCTGCTCTGGGGGGTTGGATGGGGGATCTCCAGAGGTGCCTTCCAACCCTGATGATACTGGGATTCTGTGGCTTGGTCTGAGAAGACACCAAGTCTTGTCAGTCCCCAAAACCTCTTCCTGCCTGGGGCTGTTCCCCTCTCCCCCTGTTCCCATCCCAGTTGCCTTTGCCAGATCCCCCAGTTCCAGGGGTGCCAGGTAGGGCTGTGACATGTCCCTGCTCCAGATTGTCCCACTGGTGCAGCTGAGCCAGGAGAAACCAAAGGGAAACCCCATTGTCTTCAGCAGCAGGAAACAACCCTCAGTGCCACCACTTGGGCTCCAGCACCTTCCTTCCCCAGAGCTCCTGTGGTGCCTCCCAGGGGGTTTCTGGTCACTGGGAACTGCTCCTCCCTGCCCAGGAACTGCCCCTCCCTGCCCTCTCAGCTGCTGGTGTTGAAACAACTGATTGTTTAGTGCCAGGGAGGGGATTTCCAAAGTTCTGCTGAAATTGTCCCATCCGGGGGTTTCCAGCCTTTCCTTCCCGCAGGGGAAGGAAAGATGACACAGACCAGGCTCTATTTCCATGCTAGAAATTCTTGGGCAGGATTCAGGCTGGATGGGACCCAAGAAACTCCCCCCAGACCCTGCCTGGTGCCCCCCTTGGCAGCCCGGGGGGGTTGGGGCTGGTGGAGCAGGGGGGAGCTGTAAGAAATCCCTAAAATCTGATGTTAGTCCCAGAGGGGCCTTTGCAGGAGCCTGGTCTGGGGTGGGTGGCAGAGCTGGGGGAACCTTCCCAAGCTCCTGTCTTTGAGCCAGAGACATCCCTGGGGTCACAGAATCATAGAGTTTTGGAAAAGGCCTTTAAGGTCCTCTAGCCCAACCCTTCCCCAGCCCTGCCCAGGCCACCCCTGCCCCGTGTCCCTCAGCACCATCTCCAGGGCTTGGAAACCCCCCCAGGGATGGGGACTCCCCCCCTGCCCTGGGCAGCCTGGGCCAGGCCCTGACAACCCTTGCCAGGGAGAAATTGTTCCCCAGATCCAACCTCAACCTCCCCTGGCACAACTTGAGGCCGTTCCCTCTTGTCCTGTCGCTTGTTCCTGGGGAGCAGAGCCCGACCCCCCTGGCTCCAACCTCCTCTCAGCAGCTGCAGAGCCAGCAGGTCTCCCCTCAGCCTCCTTTGCTCCAGGCTGGACACCCCCAGCTCCCTCAGCTGCTCCTCACAAGTTCTCCAGCCCCTTCTCCTCCTGCTCCAGCCCCTTCCCCAGCTCCGGGGCCCTTCCCTGGACACGCTCCAGCCCCTCCATGTCCTTCTTGTCCTGAGGGGCCCCAGGGCTGACCCCAGGACTCCAGGTGCCCCCTCCCCAGTCCCCAGCACAGGGATGAAGGAGTTTTCCTGCAGCCCATCTTGGTCTCACCTGGCACCGTGGCTGATGGGTCCGTGTCCCACTGATGGTCTCAGCCTCTGTCCCACCACCTCAGAAGTTTCCCCTCTCTGGGAACAGGCCATGGTTGGGCACTGTCCATGCACGTGGTGACTGTGTCTCCTCCCCTGTGCTGCTCCATGACTTTCTGAAGCTCAGTGGTGAGCCCCCCAATGCTCACTCCTTCCCCCCTCCCCCTATCCAGCCCACGTTCCCCTTAACTTGCTGCTCCCCAGATTCCACGAGTTCTGCATCCGTGGCTGGTGCATCGTTGGCAAGAAGCAGACGTGTCCCTACTGCAAAGAGAAGGTGGATCTCAAGAGGATGTTCAGTAACCCGTATCCTTTCTCCTGGGGGAGCTGCCTGAGCCCGGGGCTGCTCCCTTGGACACTGCCAGCCCTGCTGGTGAGCCCAGAATCAGCCACTTTTTGGTTTGGTGGGAAGGGACCTCAAATCCCACCCAGTCCCACCCCTGCATGGGCAGGGACACCTCCCAGCAGCCCAGGCTGCTCCAAGCCCCATCCAACCTGCCCTTCAACACCCCCAGGGATGGGGCAGCCACAGCTTCCCTGGGCAACCTGGGCCAGGCTCTCCCCACCCTCACAGCCCAGAATTTCTCCCTCCCATCTCAGCTCCAGCTCCCTCTGCCAGCTGGAAACCCTTCCCCCTGCTCCCATCCCTCCCTGCCCTTGTCCCAAGCCCCTCCCCAGCTTTCCTGGAGCCCCTTCAGGC